GGTTAAAAATAAAAAATTTTTCCTATTTTCCGAGTGCATGATTTTGGTCGATTCTAAAAAATGATAAAACCTTTATTTTTCACCTTTTTTTAATAATTAGCATCTATTTTGTTTAATTGCTCATGTTTAACAGCTTCAACAAAACAAGTTTTGCAGAGTTTTTCGTGAAATTTTAATAAAAATTGCATTAACACTTTTGTATAAAACTGTTTGTATTAGTTTCCATTTATGGTTCCTAAAATTGTTTCTTTGATTTATTATTCATGTATCAAATTTTAATGAATTTGTTTTCATGTTTATTATCGAGTTTACATATCCAGATATTGAATATGGTCTTATTATTTTAAATTGTATGACCACCCAAGAAAACCTACAAGAATAGACGGTGCTAAGGGAATGAGGTCATATGTTAGTAAATAAATGAGTAGGAAAATTGATGATTCATCTTCGAAATCGCATTTAAAGTTCTTCTGTATATGGACACCCACCGTATTCAAAACACTTGTTGGCCCTGTGTTCTGACCATGAAGTTTCAGACTCATTACCGTTCATGAAATGAGACTTGAGGGACTTGGTACATGGCATATGCAAATCCACCATGTAACACCTTTCAATTTTTTATCAAATATGTATTGCAATTTTAATACACTTAAGGATTGCAGCTAAGAGAATACGGCGTCCTTCCTAGTGTTCAGAGGATTCCCTAAGACCGTCACTTTTATACTATTCTGCCGAAGTCGTACCAGATATTAGAATGGGAGCTGGTGATATTTGGGATTCCCCAGTTTCATACCGCATGCCTTAATGAGGATGCAGTTCAAAATTCGAAATATTCTCATACTGGTCAAATTGCCAGGATAGGACCTCTACATTTTTTCTTTCAAAAATCTAAAGGAAGAACTGATATTAAACCTAGTATTATTATAGTATCGCAATTATACGTTCTCTATAAGGACTTCCATGATTCCTGGTTTTAGTTTTCTTTAAAATTTTAAAAAAAATCATTGTTTCTGCAGTATACCAAGTAAGACGTAACTTGTAAACTACGTGAACACGTGCACAGTACCTGCGTTATTATTATTTTTCTTTTTTTTTTTAAGGGCAAATCAGCCAAACAATTTTTCCAAAAATTATGAAACAGTCGACACTTTTACTTAAAAAAAAAATTAGTGCAAAAAATTAAAGTAAACTTGACTATATACGTTAAAACATAAAATGGAAAGAAAAGGAAAGCAGGCGAGCAGTTGAATCTCCCTGAGCTTTAACCAAACTTCTTAATGGTTACATTTACATTTCGTATTTGCATTTATAATTTACTATAGGTTTACTAAATTTTTTATATTTCTCATATTTAACATTAAAATCGACAATATCAGCCACTAAATCAAATTTATTCTTTACTAGATTTTATCCAGGACTTCGTTCACGTAAAACTGATTGCATTATAGTGCTACGTATTTGCAAGCTTGAAAGCATTGCGTTCATCTTCATATGTAAAAGTTACAATTATTTAATAAGTCTTTATTAACATAAATGGTATGATTAAAATTAACAAAATAGATACCAATTGTTTTATGAATAAAAAAAATTAATATTATACTAGGTTTTACCAGTGGCTTCACTCACGTCGATGCCCTAAATACGTGCCAAAGATCATCGAAAATACAATAATTTGATAACTTTGTTTTTAATTCCTGATAACTAAAATTTTTAACGTTCTAGTTTGCGTTTACTTTAGCTAAAATCGACCCATATATAGCTATATGTGGATCATTAATTTCTTGAGCTGAAGTAACGAAAACAATTAATAGCTGAATGTCGCCTACATAATAAATTAATACAATAAATCAATTTTGTGAAACATGTATTTTCTGTTAAAACTTTCCAAGTATTCCTTATATTTCAACAAAAGAATTTCCGAATGTCCTTCGTATATTACGTAACTGAAGGGACATCTTACGGCCGATAGTCAAATGTTATTGTTATATCAAGGTAAAACATAGTCACCGAACAGTGTCAGCATGTTTAATCTAGTTATATTTGACTATCGGCCGTAATGTGTCGCTACGTAAAATACGAAGGACATCCTACAAGTCTTTTGTTGAAATACAAGGGATAATCGGAAATATTTAACAGAAAATACTTTTTTTCAAACCTAATTCACTTCATTAATTTGTTATATAAACGACATTAAACACTATACACTTTGCATAGAATAAATGAATTAAGTCGTGAAAATCGTAACAAACAAACTCGCATTCGCATTTAATATATTGGTTAGGATTAGGATGCTCGTTTTAGACTCTATAAAAAATAAAAAAAATAAAGATATGGTGAACCTGTATTTTTTATTTTAAATACCTAATTGATTAAGTTGACCCTTACCTACTTGATGAAGATCTATAGTAAATAACTAGAAACATTTTCACTACAAACTTTTACTTCTTTTGTTACAAAATAATCATTTGATGAAGCATATATTATAGTTTTTGTTTTATAAGTTCCTATTTATTTATTTTTTTTTATTTTTATAAGGTACACAAACAGAATATAATTCTATTAGAAGTAGAATATAATGGATATTCAACGAAATTTACTTTAACAGACACAAGAAGCGATTTTAATAAATACCTTAATAGTATCACAGATTTATATAATACTTCAAATATATATCTAAGAAAAAGGATCTTGTGTT